CTGATGTCCCCGCCGCCCCTGTCCCGCTGGGACGTGGCACCCAAGCTCAGAGGTGAGGGGAACACGCCCCCTTCCCCGCAACCTTCCAGCCGGGCACAGCTTTTTCCGAGCGTCCGAGCGCCGGGCTTGCGGGGATGCTCGCGGGGCGTGGGGCTCATGCCCTGCGCAGGAGGAGGCGCCCTGGGTTGCGCATCCTGACCAGGGCCTGGCCTTGGCGGCTGTGTGCTTGGCTCTCATCGTGATGCCAGCTAGTGGAAGCGAGGGCAGGGGGGGGCGTTTCCAGACGTTGGGGCTTCAGGGGACACCGGAGAAACTTGAATCCCTGGTGCGGGGGAAGAGCCAGAATAACTGGGGAAAGGGAGCTGGGCCAGAATCGCTGACGATGGTTGTGAACGTGAACCCTGGTTATTCCTAGAGAGGAGAGAGGAATGAGCTGGGATGGTGTTGTCAAAGACAAATTAAAGACAAGAGAGTGGGGAGGCCATCCTGGAGAGGTGGACCCCCAGATACACGTAAACTCCAAGCACCCTGATGCCATGAGTGGAGTGGCGCCTTTGCTCATCCCTGGGCGTGCTGAGTGGTGGCGTCTGTCAGCCTGCACGTGCTACCCGCCCCTCTCCTTTGCTGGGAGGTGGCGTCTTCCCAGGAGTGGGGAGGCGGGGAATCTGTGTTTGTGGAATCTTTACTTTTGTAGCCGGATCGTGACCTCTGCGTGCTAAAGGGCCTGGGGAGAGCGTGTTTGTCGATGTACCATCAGCTGAGTGCCAGAATGTGCAAGCTTCTTTCTCCCCTTCTCCCCCCTCCCTCTCTCCCTCTCTCTCCCCCTCCCTCCCCCATCTTAATGAAACTTTGAGTCTTCATACTTGCTTGGAGAGTGTGGGAAGGATTTAAAAATTCCGGGGTATGTTGTGTGTGTTTGGGTGCAGAGGGAGGGCAAAGTCTTCTCCGAGACGTGCCCAGAGATGTTAGGCGTCAAGCTGCTTCTTCCTTCCTTCATTTCATTAAGCATCTCCTATGTGAATGTCACCTATTGAATCTCTAAGGTTGTAGATTCTTTCATGGCTCCCTTGGCATATCTTAGCAAAAGCTGAGGTGGGATGGTGGATGTGGCAGGTGGCCTTGAGAGAGGAGGAAGACTTCTCTGTACCGGAGATTGAATTTAAGGGTTTCGCACTGATCTGTATTCTCAGCCTTTTTACAATGTTTCTTTTGGGGACGGGATCTCACCAAGTCACTTACGTTGCCTAGGCTGGGCTTGAAATTGCCATCTTCCTGCTTCAGCCTCCCAGAGTCTTGGGGTCATAGGCTTGGGCCACCACACTCAGCTCTTTTATTGTTGTTTTGAAACAGAGTCTTGCTACAGCGCACAGGCTGGTCTCTGAACTCTTGGCCTGGTGACCCTCTTGCCTCAGTCTCCTGAGGGGTGGGATTACAAGCATGCACCACCACATCTGGCTTTTTTTAAAAAATTGAGCATTAGAATAGTGGAAAACACCAAGGCAACATTTTTTAAATTAGCATAGCTAATTTAGGAGAGAAATTAGTTGCAGAAAACCTCCATCTCTTGTGGAATTTCTAGTCTTAGTCTGGGCGATATAATGGAGCATATAAACATAAAGCTCCTCAGATTGTTCTCTCTTTGTACCCACTTCCCTTTTCCTACGAAATACTTGGAAATTGGCAGTCTGTATTTTAGGTGTCGATGTTGCACTTTTACCTCCACAGGGAAAGTTGTAAACCTTTGACCCTTCTGAATACTCAGTGCAGGCTTTCTTAGTGCAGGCAAAGGCTACAGGTGTGTTTTGAACGCATTTTCTGCCGACTGCTTGTTCAGGTTTTTTTCAAAGACTGATCCGAGTATGTCTGAGTTATTTTTTAATCCAGGTCCTTTATTTTCTGTCCCTAAATTACACTGATTCCCTCTCACCCTATGCCTGCATGCTTTCCTAAGGGGAGTTAAGGGCGGTTCTGGGTGGGAAAGAATATAAAGGTTTTTTTTTAATCATGCTCAGAAAAAAATCTGCATACCTAAAAATGTCTATTCGTTTATCGTTGTACTTTACAATTACATATGTGCCATATATATTCATGTACGTGTGTTAAAGATTATATAACTAACTTAGAAGTTAGGTTGCAAACCCTCCAGTCTTTGTTCCCAGGTTCATTATCCTAATATTGTTATGCTTCTTAACATTGTGTTATAAACTATGCTTTGTTGCCTCTTGCTTGATTCTTATTATCTTAACTTCATGGTTTGATCAGAGTTACTGCATTTTTTTCACTATTAAAATTTTGTAACTTCAAAAGGTTAGAAAATGCCTGTGCATTTTGGAAGTTGCCTGTCAGTTTACCAAGCTGTGTGGCATTACTGCGTGCGTGCATGTGTGTATGTGTGTGTGTGTGTGTGTGTGTGTGTGCGTGTGCATGCGTGTGTTCCGTGGCCAGCCTCTTGGTCCAGTGTCTCCAATTTGTGATTTGTGACGTTATTACTCCAGAACTTTTGAGTCATAATGTGTTCCTGGGGATTTTGGGTGGTGCTTGGCTGATACAGGAAGTACTAAAAAAGTTAAATAATTCAAAAACAGTTTTATTGGGTACAAAAAAAAAAACCCTTTAAAGTCTAGAGGAAAAATATATACAGGCCAGAATTATAGTTTAACATATCCAACTGGTGCCTTTTTAATTACAGTACTTTCCCCCCAGAACCTTTTAATCTTATTACTTTTATATTTAATGAGAAGACTAGTTAAAACATAAGCCAAACAGAACTATTACAAATAATGGGATAAATAGTGGGTATAGCCAGATGTTTTTCCTAAAGTTAAAAGAGTTAATCTGAACTCTGCCAAATTCCCCAAGACTCCCCCCCCCCAATAAGCTGCAATTTTGAAAGGTAAAAAAGTCTTGGAGGCAGTGGGGAAAAAAACAAAAAGAAACAAATGTTTCCGGTAGGCCTCTCCTGATGGTTGACCATCCTCTCGACCTTTGGCTGATTGGCAGGTGCTGTTTGAGTGGCAGCTGGTGGACAAGGCTGAGTACAAAATGCTTTGGTTGTGAAGGCCTTCACTTGTGGGTCTCCCGCAGCTCTGAATTGGGGCTGGGCTCATTTGCCGCTCATTTCACAGTGAATTTTCAGTCGCTGCCAACATCGTTGTTTTGTTTTTCTCTTTACCAACAATTTAATTTTGGCCAATCTGATGCTGTTCTGAAAATGTGGAACAAGTTACGAACATTTGTGCTTCCTTTCTACTCTTCTAGTTGCAGTTTTAACAAAATTCTGTATGCTATTCACCTAGCAGCAAATGTTCTTGAGGGATTAGGATGTCCCTGTGCTAAGATTCCCTGCCCTCACCCCACACATTGTGTCCCTAGAGTGTGATACTGTGGTACTTTGTGTGGCTGCTGGATTGGGAGGGGCAGGATTGAAGACTATGTGAGGCAGAAGCAATAGAGGAGCACACAGAAGGTTCTCAACTTACTGAAGAGATGGAAATGCAGAACCAAAGTAGTATTCGTTTTAATACAAATGGCACATCTTGTAACATTTGGTAACATCCCCTGTTAAATGTTGTTTGGGTGAGCCTCAGACTCTGAATTGTGACCTTAGGGAGGGCCACTGGCTTCTCTGGAAGCTGGAAACCTGCATGGACGCTGTGGCCACGTGACCAGCAGTCTTACATTCTGTCCCACAGTTGGAGTCCTGTTGAACAAAAATAAAAACATTGGCGCACAAGGGATGTGTGTGAGGATTTTTTCTTTTGCCCCAATCCTGGAGATTGAACCCAATCCTTGCATGTGCTAGGCAAGCTGTCTGTCACTGAACCACAAGCCAGTCCTATGTCTGAGGATGTTTACGGTGAGATTGTTGCATTAATCAGAGTATCTGTGAGTAGGATGAATAAAATAGAGTACATGCACTCTGTAGATTATTTTGTGAGGGGTGCTCATGACATGTTAAATAAAAATCATGTGAAATAAGAGTAACTTCAGAGTATTTTGTAGTTGGCAGAGTATTATGTAGTTTGATCTAAAATAAAGAAGACGCTCTGTGTGTATGACCTTGGAGAAAGATGTGGAAGGACACACAAAACTCAGTATTTTAAAAAAATTGGCAATGGGGAGATCACTAACCTCCGTATATGCTTCCAGACAATTGTAAAAATTATTCCGTTAATGAATAAATAAAATTACCAGCTACCATTTTGGAAACAGGTTGAGAAATAATCACACTTATTTTCTCTGACGTCTTCTGTAGGCATATCTTATTTCTTTGTAAATTTTCAATTAATTACCTTCTAAAATTCTGAGATTTCCCAACTTTTAGCAGAGGATTTAACCTTCATTGGGAAGGAGAGCTTCAGGCAAAGCTGTTTTCCCGTGCCTTGAGAGGAGGGAAAAGAGGAGCTAGCCCAGCTTTCAGCCAGCCTCACCCTTCTGTGCCTGGACCTTCACTGGGTACACCTGAGGGAGGGGAGTGGTGGCCGTGGGGAACTCGTGCTAAGTAGCAGCTGACCTCTTCATGCCTGTCCCCCACCTGAGGCCTAGAGGGGTGCTGCTGTCAGTTGAACCTTGGACTCCTTCCACACTGGCCCTGGCTTAGCTGATGGCTCCCGCTGTTCCACTTTTCACCCCCACTTCTTGCTGTGTTTTTTGTTTGTTTGTTTTTGTTTTTTTGAAACAGGGTCTCACTATGTAGTTGAGACTGCCCTGGAACTCACTATGTAGCCCAGGCTGGTCTTGAACTCACATCTTGCTGTGGTTTTTGAATCTTCACGGACCAGATGAATTCTTGGCACTTAAAGTAGGAGCCATACTTTCCAGAGCAGCGGAACCTGTAACCAACCACATTTTTCAAAGTACATACCGTGTGACCCCATTGATCCTGGGGGAATATCCAGAATGTCAACCCATTAGAAGCCCTGCCTATGAAGTTTAAAAATTGTGCTTGAGATTAGATTGTTGGCTTTCAAATTTAAATGCATTAGAATCAAGCCTATGGCTTGTTAAAACCCAGATTGTCCGGCTACAGTTTCAGATTCTGTAAGACATAGGTCTAATAATTCACATTTTAAACATGTTCTCAGGTGAGACTGATCTTGCTGGTTGGGGTTTGTGTGTGAGGGAACACTCCTGAGAGGGACCGGCTCCCTCTGAGCTTACAGATCATGTGATTTCCAGCCAGTCCTTTATCTTGTTATGGATGAAAGTTAGAATTTCAATCAAGGCCTGTTCATTGTGTCAGTTGCACCAAACTAGGAAAAAAAAATATTTGTGCTACTTTGCTTGTCTACTTTTTGAGAATTTATCGTTTTATATATGGGTGTGAGTTTAAGCCGCAATAGAAGTTAAAGTATTGTTTTAAATATTCTAAAATGTGTTCTCATAAGAAAGCGGAGAGGGCTGTTAATGTTGATGGAGTCTTATTTTTTCCCCATCATACATATAACCCACGATTTGATGCTATCGATTTTTAAAAGAATGTGAGGAGATAATTGAAAATGAAACGAACAGATGATAACTGTGACTGAATCTGTGTTGGAATCAGATGACTGGTGCAGTTTTTGGAGGAAATTAAGTGTAACAGCTATTGACCTGAAGTGTTTATTACAGTGCTGCTGAACGACTTGCAGTTCTAACAGTGCTCATCAGCCTCTCTTGAGTGCCTTGGCTGTCCTCTGGGACCTTTACTTTTCCCGAATCCTTGATAGACTTGGATGACCGCCCCCCAGCTTATGAGGAGGGTTTTCCAAAGCCGTCCCTCCTTATTGATCCCCATTCTAAAATTCTTCAGCACATGAGCCCTTGTTCTGTTTTTAGCCACTTGGCTTTAGAGCCTTTTCTTTTTCTGATGATTTCACATGTAAGTTAGAAGCTAAGTACAATTGATAATGAGATAAAGGACAGAAAGTCAGCTTGGAGGGAGATTTTCATGGAGGGAGGTTGTATATGAGGGATCAGGCTTTTCAGGATGGGATTCTTCAGTAGCATTTCCTGACCACTCATCATAGTTCTCTGGGTCACCTTGCTTCATTCTTCAAGAATTTTAGCCTCTGGTCCACTGACCCTCCTCCCATCATCTTAGTGAGTTGAACTTCTGTGTAGATTGTCCACCCAACTTCCAGCCTCTCTGGCTCTCTTTTGATCAGCTCTCAGTTGTCTTTTCTGTCTCCTTCAGCCATACCCTTCTGCAGTTGTCACAGATTCTTGGAGACTTTGTCACCAGAGGCACAGTGTAGAGATTTTATCAACTCTCATTACTTGGTGGAAAGAGAGATGCTGACAAATGTTTAGAGTGCACATGACAGTCCTCACAGCAGAGCTATGTGGTCCAAAGTGTCAGAAACCTCACCCTCGTGTCTTTGAAGTTTTTCCTAATCTCAGTACATGTTTTGTGATAAACCCCGTGCAGGCACATAAAACTAAAATAAAAGTTTCCCTCAGTGGAATTTATCTGATGAGGTTACAGTGTTTTCTCATGCTATTTCCTTCTGTTACAAAAAAGAAAAAGGCTGGGCACGGTGGCACACACCTGTAATCCCAGCACTCGGGAGGCTGAGGCAGGAGGATCACTTTGAGTTCGAGACCAGCCTGGGCTACATAGTGAGTTCAGGGCAGTCTGAACTACATAGTGAGACCCTGTCTCAAAAAACAAAAAGAAAAAGAAAAAAAGATGACACCCATATCCACTAAGTTGCTTTCATCACCTACTGTACCTGCAGGAGTCAAACAAAAACCTTGATAAGCATCCCAGACTGACCTCACCTTGTCTTTCATGGTCTTCCCTCTAGTCTTCAGTTCTGTTTCTATGGACCCTATGCAGTGTTGGACTTGGTGGCCCTTCGTTTTTTACTGTTTATCACCCTGCTCTTGCCCGCTTCTGTTTCTAGCTTGGGTCCCTGGCCTTTCTCCTGTTCTGGAGAATACCGTGCTCTTGGTTAAGCCCACCCTGTTCACCCTGCTACTTCCTGGCTGATATTCCTGGCTGGGGAAACACACAGTTCTGTCCTGTCCTGCTTTTTATCCACCACTCTCAAGGGAACTCCTGACCCTGCCAGTCCACTGTGCTGTAGCTGAACATCACTCTTGGCTGATGGTTTGGCTTGTGTCATTGAGGAAAGATGCAACTGGAAGCTATTTTTATCTATGAATCTGCTAACCCCACAGCACTCTCAGCCTTCTGAGCCCTGCTTCCCGACCCCTCTTGGCTTTCATCGTGTGGGTGTCCCCTTTTCCCTTCTGTACCATCAATGTGCACTCTGCAGGTTAATCCCTGGCGGATACATACTGCAGCATCTTTGTTTTGGGGGAAAACAAAACAAAACAGCGCAGCCTAGGAGCAGCAGGAACACCAGGAGCAGCAGCAGCAAAGTTCCTTTGACCCCATGTCCTATTCTGCTGCTCTCTCATTTCTCTGCTCTTTGTAGCAAATACTTTTGAAAGGATTGTCATACTCCTTGACACCTTCACCTTCCGCACCCCATCCTGTCTTTGGTGAACCCAGTCCAATCTGGCCTTTGTCCCTCCCCTTCACCGAAACGGCACTGCTAAAGGTACATGTCACCAAGTCTGGGGCCAACTCTTTGTGACCTTCTGCAGCTTTTAACTAGCTGATTGCCCACTTACCCCTGGCTTCCATGTCCCAAATCCTGCCTGGCTCCCCCTCCACCCCCAGCTGCTCCAGCTTTCTGACTGGATCTTGTCTTCCTAGCTTCTGGAATCAGGAGGTGTGTTGTCACATGCACCTTCACTGTCACCCTGGCATTGCCTGGCTGCCCTGTCAGCCTCTTCCGGTCTTGCCTTCTCATCATTTATCCTTCTGTGATACTCCATATCTGACTCATTTACTGTCCATCTCACAGCATCTGGAACAAGTGCTCCAGAAGGGACCAAACTCCTGCCCTGGTGCCCCAAGTACCTAGAACAGTGCATGCACAAAGTGAGTCCTTAACAGACAATGCTGCAAATAATGGATGAAAGAAAGTTGACCCTGGATACGGAGTAATAGTAATAAACTTTTTCCAGGTTGGTGCTAAGAGCGTCATGCTGAGAAGGAAAAGTAACAGCTCTTGGTGCAACAGTTTTAGGTCATGTGCTGAAAGTTAGGGGCTCAAGTATTGAATTCTCAAAGCATATCCTCATTCAATACTTGTTGAGTGATTGGAGGCACCTGCAGTGGACAGCTGGCTGAGACAAGTGGTCGCCTCTCTCCTTTTTATCTCTGAAGAAGGGCACTTCTGCAGTCTACTTACTTGGTAACTTTTGTCGCTGGGTTGTAGACGATGGATTGCCTTTTCTGAAGTGTCTGTCATTGACCTTAATGTTCTAGTGAATCACTCATCCCCAGAGTCCATTTGAGCACGTGGAGACTCATTCTTCTGTGCTTCTGGGCTCCCTGAGGAGTGAGTTCGTGTGGATAAGCAGGGCTGCTTGCTGGCCCCTCCCGCACTTCTCTCAGCACCCAGGCTAAAGAGCCCCAAAGCTTTCATATTTCAGTGAAAATTCTCTTCCTGTCTGCAGTGCCTGGAGGCAGCCCACTTAATGATTTGGCACCTGTGTCTAGGCCCTGCTTCATGCATGGCAAATCTTCCTGGGTTTGAGAGATTTATGTGGAGGGCACTCTAAGAGGCTTAATTTTCTCCTTCACGGGCTGAACACTTGTCACTTGGGGGATCCTCCCCTTGGGTCATAGGAGCTTGTCCTTAGGGAAGGTGTCAGCCAAGGTGGCCGAGGAGCAGTCATAGGCAGCTGGGTTTACCCCAAAGAAGACAAACCAGATGTCTTTTATTATCTTAAAAAAAAGAAAGTGGAGGCCGAATACTGGTTCTAGGTCTCCCTGTCCCTTTGACAAGTAAAGAATGAAGCCCCAGAAGAATGTGGGACGTGGCAAAGCTGTCACTGACCTCAGTTTCTTGGTCGTGACCAGTGCTTTCTCCTTTTCATGGGATGTACTGTTAGACCTGGGAATCCCCAGGAAAGCTGTTTAGAAGTGCTGGCTCCTAAACCAAGCCTGACTCACTGAACTGGATCTCTGGCTGGGAAGGGCAAGGGACTAGTCCCTAGAGACGCTCTTAGAGATGTACCCTGAGGAGGGCCAGGAAGGTAAAGGCAGCTAGAGGACTGGGGACAGATCCTGTGCAGGACACACACCTGCTGTCCTCATATACTTGACATACCCGGCCCCTTCCGGATGTAGGACATCTCAGCTGCTCAGGGTTTGTTTCTGACTGTTCTGTATGTGCATGCACCCCCCCCCCGCTCCCATTACAAAGTAAGACCCTGTAAGGTTTTTTTTTTGGGGGGGGACAGTGATAGAACTTGGGCTCTTGCCCTTCAGAGGCAGGTGCCGGAACCACTGAGGTAAATCCCCGGCCCTCATTTTTTTTTTCAATTAAAATATTTTAATCAAGACCATCCTCAAAACTAACAACCAGAAAAATGTTTCAGTGTGGGTCAGGGATTAGCTCAAAGGTTCCGCTGCCTGCCTTGCAAGTGCAAGGACCTAAGTTTGATCCCTGGTATACCCCTCAAAAAAACCCACAAAGAAAATGTTTCAGTGATTTCTTCTTACTACCCACACATCACCCCACACTTCTTCCAAGAAACTCCCCTCTCCCATCCCAGAAATGAGGCCCCACTTAGAGACCATGCAGTACAGTAAGTTTTTTTTTCTGGGCTAGCCTAGGAACCTAAGCACCTCCTACAACCTTGCTTCCGTGGGAAAGTTTATTTAATATTCCAAATCTCCGGAGTTATGGATAGATGAGCAGCCCCAAACTATGGCCAGGAGCCACCTAAGTAAGAGCCTTTTGGGCTCCTGTATGGCACTTCGTGCACTTTACATAGCAATCTTCAGTAATCACCGTTTTCTGGTGTCAGTAAAAATGGGCATCGGAAATCACCTTCATAGATAGGGAAACTCCGGGAGCTCAGGCCCTGCACGGCGGGTCACGCCCGTTTCTGCACCCCAGGCCTGACTCACTGTCGCGCACCGGATCGGAGTCGCGGTGTCGGGCCAGCCCTCCCCACGGGGAGCTTCTTCCCTGGGGTGTATGAGTTCACCCAAATGGGAATCTCTGGAGAAGTTAAACCGAGCTGCACAGGGAGTAACTCGATGCCCTCAGGGCTGGCTTTACCCAGGCCCTGGGCGGAGGTTCTGAGCGGACGCAGGGAAGACCGACGCCTAGGTCCGCAGCTCCGGACCACACCCAGCGCCCCGCGTCTGTAGCGCAGCCCTCGCTCCCCGGCTTCCCCCTAGAAGATCTCAGGGGGCCTCTCTCCCGCACCCCAGCCCCTGACCTGCCCCGGACACCAGGCCTCGGACCCCACCCACCCACCGACCTCT